CATTTTATTCCTCTCACAGACAAAACACATGCATGTTAGGTTTTGAGGTGCAGGGCCTCCTTAGCAAAGGTAGAGCCCAGACACCCTGCGGAGAAAACTCATTTTGGCCGCTTGTATCCGAGATCTCATTCTTTCAGTCACAACCGAAAGCTCGTGACCGTAGATGAGGGTAGGAACGTAGATCAATCGGTAAATTGAGAGCTTCGCCTTTTGACTCAGCTCTCTTCACCACGACAGACCTGTACAGCGCCTGCTTCACTGCTGACGCTGCACCTATCCGCCTATCGATCTCACGCTCCATTTTTCCCTGATTCGTGAACAAGACCCCAAGATACTTAAACTCCTCCACTTGGGGTAGGACCTCCTCCCTGACCCGGAGAGGGCACTCTACCCTTTTCCGGCTCAAGACCATGGCCTCGGATTTGGAGGAACTGATCTTCATCCCGGCCGCGTCGCATTCGGCTGCGAACCGCTCCAGCGAAAGCTGTAGATCATGATCTGATGAAGCCAATAAGACCACATCATCTGCAAAAAGCAGAGACGCAATCCTAAGGCCACCAAAACAGATCCCCTCAACACCTTGGCTGCACCTAGAAATTCTGTCCATAAAAGTTATGAACAGAATCGGTGACAAAGGGCAACCTTGGCGGAGTCCAACTCTCACCGGGAACAAGCCCGACACTGCCGGCGATGCAGACCAGGCTCTGACACCGGTCATACAGGGACCTAACAGCCCGTATCAAAGGGCCCGGTACCCCATACTCCCAGAGTACCCCCCACAGGGTTCCCCGAGGGACGCGGTCGAACGCCTTCTCCCAGTCCACAAAACACATGCAGACCGGTTGGGCAAACTCCCACGCACCCTCCAGGACCCTGCTGAGAGTGTAGAGCTGGTCCAGTGTTCCACGGCCAGGACGAAAACCACACTGCTCCTCCTGAATCCGAGGTTCGACTACCCGACGGACCCTCCTCTCCAGAACCCCCGAGTAGACCTTACCAGGGAGGCTTAAGAGCGTGATTCCCCTGTAGTTGGAACACACTCTACGGTCCCCCTTTTTGAATAGGGGGACCACCACCCCGGTCTGCCAATCCAGGGGAACTTCCCCCGATGTCCACGCAATATTGCAGAGTCGCATAAGCCAACACAACCCTACATCCAGAGCCTTAAGGAACTCCAGGCGAATCTCATCCACCCCTGGGGCCCTGTCACCGAGGAGCTTTTTAACCACCTCTGTGACCTCAGCACCAGAGATTGGAGGGCCCGACCCAGAGTCCCCAGGCTCCGCTTCCTCAGTGGAAGATGTGCCGGTGGGATTGAGGAGGTCTTCAAAGTATTCCGCCCACCGACCCACAGCATCCCGAGTTGAGGTCAGCAGCACACCACTCCCACTATAAACAGTGTTGGTGGCGTACCGCCCCCCCCCCCCGAGACGCCGAATGGTGGACCAGAATCACCTCGAAGCCATGCGGAAGTCATTGTCCACGGCCTCTCCAAACTCCTCCCATGCCCGAGTTTTTGCCTCAGCGACCACCCGAGCCGCATGTCGCTTGGACTGCCGGTACCCATCAGCTGCTTCTGGGGTCCCACAGGCCAAAAAGGCCCGATAGGACTCCTTCTTCAGCCTGACAGCATCCCTCACCGACGGTGTCCACCATCGGGTTCGAGGGTTGCCGCCGTGATAGGCACCAACAACCTTGCGGTCGCAGCTCCGGTAAGCCGCCTCGACAATAGAGGCACGAAACATGGTCCACTCGGACTCAATGTCCTCCACCTCCCTCGGAACATGTTCAAAGTTCTCCCGGAGGTGGGAGTTAAAACTCCGTCTCACAGGATACTCTGCCAGACGTTCCCAGCAAACCCTCACAATACGTTTGGGTCTGCCAGGTCTGACTGGCATCCTCCCCCACCATCGGAGCCAACTCACCACCAGGTAGTGATCAGTGGACAGCTCCGCCCCACTCTTCACCCGAGTGTCCAAGACATGCGACCGCAGATCAGATGAGACGATGACAAAGTCGATCATCGAACTGTGGCCTAGGGTGTCCTGGTGCCAAGAGCACATATGGACACCCTTATGCCTGAACAAGGTGTTCGTTATTGACAATCCATGATGAGCACAGAAGTCCAACAACAGAACACCACTCCGGTTCAGATCAGGGGGGCCGTTCCTCTGTGTGTGTGTGTGTTTGTGTGTATATATATATATATATATATATATATATATATATATATATATATATATACATGTGTGTGTGTATGTGTGTGTGTTTGAACGTAACTTCTTTTTAACCAGGCAAATACCTTTGTAGGTCACCAGACATCCCCAGCAAAGGAGGCCTAACTTAGAGATAGGGTGAGAAGCTCGATCATCCGGGAGAGACTCAGAGTAGAGCCGCTGCTTCTCCATGTCGAGAGGAGCCAGTTGAGGTGGCTTGGGCATCTGTTTAGGATGCCTTCTGGACGCCTCCCTGGTGAGGTGTTCCGGACACGTCCCACCGGAAGGAGGCCCAGAGGAAGACCCAGGACACGCTGGAGGGACTATGTTTCTTGGCTGGCCTGGGAACGCCTCGGGATTCCCCCGGAAGAGCTGGCCCAAGTGGCTGGGGAGAGGGAAGTCTGGGCCTCCCTACTTAGGCTGCTACCCCCGCGACCCGACCCCGGATAAGCGGAAGAAAATGGATGGATGGATGGATGGATGGACACACACAGAGTGCTTAATATTTTACAAAGATGGAAAGACATTGTCTTTTCAGACAAACTCTATATGTTAAATATCCTGATGCATGCTCAATAATCCAGGTAGAAAAATCTAAAAAAGTTAAATCTGGTCCTCTGGACATTCAAAAAAAACAAAACAAAGCAAATCAACAAAAAA